GAGAGTGTGAGAGGGAGAGGGGCAGAGAGAGAGGGAGACACAGAATCCGAAGCAGGCTCCAGGCTTCCAGAATAATCAGCTCCCTCCCTGATGCAGGGCTTGAACTCACGAACCATGAGATCATGACCTGAGCGGAGGTCGGATGCTTAACTGACTGAGTCACCAAGGCGCCCCTAGAGCATCCAACTCTTGATCTCAAGGTTGTGAGTTTGAGCCCCGCACTTGGTATAGAGATTACTTAAAACTAAAATTGTGGAAAAATAAAGAATCATGGGTTTAAATGGAAAATGTGAAACTAAAATTTTTAGAAGAAAACATGACAGGACATCTGAAGAATCTAGAACGCTTCTCAGACGTGATGTCAAAAGCACAATCTAGAAAAGAAAAATTGGGGTGTCTGACTGTCTCAGTCAGAAGAGCATGTAGCTCTTAATCTTGGGGTCATGAATTTGAGCCTCACATTGGGTGTAGAGATTACTAAAACAAATAAACTTTAAAAAAAAGAAAAAGTTGATAAATTGGCCTCATCATAATTAAAAACTTTTGTGAAAGACTGTTAGGTAAGTGAAAGGACAAGCTTAGTGGAAGGAAATGTAAGGTTTTGGGTTTTTTATTTTGAGTATAGTTGACACACAATGTTACATTAGTTTCAGGTGTACAGCATAGTCATTCAACAACTCTATACATTATGCTTTGCTCCCCATAAGTGTAGCTACTGTGTGTCACCATACAATGTACAACACTGTTACAGTACCATTGACTATATTCTCTATGCTCTAACTTTTCTCCCCATGACTTACTTATTCCATAACTGGAAACCCATATCTGCTACTTTCCTTTACCCATTTTGCCCATCCTCCCACCCCTCTTCTGTCAGGCAGCCATTAGTTTTTCTATTTATAGGTCCAATTCTACTTTTTGTATTTTATTTTCCACATATAAGTGAAATCATGTGGTATTTGTCTTTTCTCTTTCTGACTTATTTCATTTAGCATAATATCCTCTAGGTCCATCCATGTTGCAGATGGCAAGATCATATCCTTTTTTGTGACTGAGTAGTATTGTATTGTAAATATATATACCACATCTTTAGGGGGGAGAGGAAGGGCAGAGGAAACACACAATCTGAAGCAGCTCCAGGCTATGAGCTATCAGCACAGAGCCTGAATCAGGGCTTGAACCCATTAGCTTTGAGATCATGACATGAGCCAAAGTAAGATGCTCAACTGACTGAGCCACCCAGGCACCCCTGTATACCACATCTTTATCCATTCATCTACAATTCGATACTTGGGCTTCTTCCATATCTTGGCTATTGTAAATAATGCTTCAGTAAACATAGGGGTGCATATATCTTTTCACATATGTGTTTTCATTTTCTTTGGGTAAAAACCCATTAGTGGAATTACTGAATCATATGGTATTTCTGTTTTTAATTTTTTGAAGAACTAACATTCCCACCAACAGTGCACAAAGGTTCTTTTTTCTCTACATCCTCATAAACACTTGTAAATCATGTATCTAAGAACTCGTATCTTGAACATGTAAAGTGCTTTGAAAATTCAAAAGTAAGAAAAAAAAGACATTACAATAGTAAGGAAAAAGACATGAACAGACATTTCCCTAAATAGGGTGTATAGATAGCAATGAGCATATAAAAAGATGTTCAACATCATAGCCATTAAGGAAATGGAAACCACAATAAGATAACACTACAGATTTGTTGAAACAGCTGAAATTAAAAGAATAATAATGCCAAATATGGGGTACCTGGGTGGCTTAGTTGGTTAAGCGTCCGACTTTCGCTTAGGTCATGATCTCGCGGTTCGTGGGTTCAAGCCCCGCGTCGGGCTCTGTGCTGACTGCCGGCTCAGAGCCTGGAGCCTGTTTCAGTCTGTGACTCCCTCTCTTTCTGACCCTCCCCTGCTCACGCTGTCTCTCTCTCTCTCCTAGAAATAAATAAAACATTTAAAGAAAAAAAAAAGAATAATAATGCCAAATGTTAGCAAAGGTATGGAGAAACCAAATCAGTCATATAACCAGTAGAGATGTAAGATAGCTCAGCCACTCTTTGAAAAACAGTTTGATGGTTTCTTAAAACACTAAACATGCAATTACCATATAACCCAGCAATTGTACTTTTGGACATATATCCCAGAGAAATGAAAACTTAGGTCCACACAAAAATCTATACACAAATGTTCATAGCAGCTTTATTTGTAATACCCAAAACTTGGCTACCACCTAGGTTTACAGTGAGTGAATGGTTAGATTACGGTACAACCATACTATGGAATACTTACTCAGCAATTAAAAGAAACCATGTACTGAAATAACAACTTAGTTGGATCTCAGAGGAATTATCTTGAATGAAAAAAGCCCATGTCCACAGGTCACAAATACAAAATTTTACTTACAAAACATTCTTGAAATGACAGAGGTATAGAAAATAGAGAACAGGGTCGCTTGGGTGGCTCAGTTGGTTACGCGGCCGACGCGGCTCAGGTCATGATCTCATGGTGCGTGGCTTCAAGCCCCGCGTCAGGCTCTGTACTGACAGCTCAGAGCTGGGAGCCTCCTTGCTTCAGATTCTGTGTCTCCTTCTCTCTCTGGGCTTCCCCTCCTCACCCTCTGTCTCTCAAAAAATAAATAAACATTAAATTAAAAAAAAAAAAAGAAAATGGAGGGGCTCCTGGGTGGCTCAGTCAGTTGGGCGGTCAACTTCGGCTCAGGTCATGATCTCATTGTTTGTGGGTTCTAGCCCCTTGTTGGGCTCTGTGCTTACAGCTAGCTCAGAGCCTGGAGGCTGTTTCAGATTCTGTGTCTCCCTCTCTCTCTGACCCTCCCCTGCTCATGCTGTCTCTGTCTCTCTCTCAGAAATAAATAAAACATTAAAAAAAAAAAGAAAATGGAGAACAGATTAGTAGTTTTCAAGACTTAGAGGCAGAGAAGGGAAATAGGGTTACCAGTATGATCCTTTTTATAAAACAGTAGCATAAGGGAGAACTTTGTGGTGATGGATCCTGATTATAGTGGTTGCCATGAATCTATACATATGGTAAAATTGCATAGGACTATACACACACATACAAGTACATGTAAAACTGATAAAAATCTTAAGATCTGTGGATTGTACCAGTTATTTTTCTGGTTTTGATATTATAGTTGTATCTGTGATTGTGTAGCTGTACAAAGATGTAATTTTAAAGTCAAATAACTACTTTCCCTTTTCTTTATCTTTAGTTTACTTGTCACCTTGTTGCACCAATACTAGAGAGTATAGTTTCATACATGATACTCTTAACCAGTGCCGGCTTGATGTAGGCTGTGATCTACAATCATCATGGCAGTTTGGGGATACAAAACTGGTTCACAATGAGAATCTGGAAAAAAAATTTACTTCTAAGAGGTAAGTTACTGTGACCTAAAGGTTGAAATTTTTTTTTTTACTATGAAGTCTTATATGAATTAGTAATTTCTACCATTTGAAATTGGGTAAGTACTACTAAGAAAATAAGTACAGAGATTGTTCATGCACTATTTTTTGGCTTCTCATAGGCTTGTGTAATAGTGAAGAGCTAAGTTTGAGATTTTGATTAATAAATTTTACAGATAATGTAGCCAGATTTCAGACCCTTTTAATTTTTTAATCCTGATAAGTTTTTCAGAAGCATACACCAGCACATTTATTAAGCAGCTATTTCATAGATTCTTTGTGCCTTCTGCATAATATAAAACAGCAGTTAAAGAATTCAGAAAAATAATGGCCTGGGTGGCTCAGTTGGTTAAGTGTCTGACTTTGGCTCAGGTCATCATCTCAGAGCTTGGGAGTTCCCGCGTCAGGCTCTGTGCTGACAGCTCTGAGCCTGGAGCCTGCCTCAGATTCTGTGTCCCCCTCTCTGACTGCTCCTCCCCCACTCGCACTCAGTCTTTCTCTCAAAACTAAACAAACATTAAAAAAATAAAAAGAATTCAGAAAAATAACTTTTTTTCCTTGACTCAACCATTAAAAGACTTAGTTGATGTTTTAGTTTGGCAGGATTATATCTGGCTATTTCCTGCTATTCCATTAGAGCCACTATTTTTTTTTCTGAAAAAAAAATTGAGAATAGTTAACACATAGTGTTTACATTAGTTTCAAGTATACAACTATTTCTGATGTTAATTTTTTAAAAGTACTATTTGTACTTTTTGGGAAGGCATAATCCGTTATGTTGTTTTGATAAAGAAGAAAGGCATATGCAATTTCTCATCATTATAAACATTTTGTATTTATAGGTCTAGATCTTATGTGAACACAGTTTAGCTTTTTCATTTTCTGAAATTTTCTCCTTTTATCAATTTGCATTTAACATAAAACCTAACTGTAGTTTGATCCAGGACCCATACTTAGAACTCATTTTGGAATGTTTTGGGTTCCTTTTTTTGTTTACAAATCAATTCCTCTTGACTCAAACATACTTATCCCCTGGTTTTACTTTGAGAGAATTGGTGAGAATGACAGATTTAGTTGATAGTATATTCTTTTGTCTAGAAACCACAGTTTTGAGCAAAAGTAGAATGGACTAGATATATCCTGCCCCTTCCAGATTGAAGTAACAGTTTGATCAAATTAATTCCTGGTATTGCTCTTTGATTTCAGCACTTTTAGGCTTTTTAAATTTTTATCCTTTTTTGTAATGCTCCCCCTGCCCAACACTTAATTTATAACCTGTTAACATTAGCAGAGAAATTAGAACTATGCAACAATACAAGGTATGTAAGAACATTGCAAATAACCAACAAGTACAGGATTTATTGGCTTCTTAGGTATTTGCCCAATTAGACAAACTCAGTTGTTTCCCATAGTACTTTATACTCATTTTTCTTACTACAATATATTGGTTTTGTCAGATTCTCTTGCATTATGAGTTTTATCTTCGTGTTTATGTCCATAGTATGAAACTGGCAACACAGTGGACACTTAATTGTTAAATTAAGTTAAATTTTTCTTTCTTTTTTTTCTGATGGAACACTTCACCAATCTGCATATCATCCTTGCACAGGGGGCCATACTGATCTTCTCTGTATCATTCCAGTTTTAGTAATGTGTTCAAATTTCTGTTTCATTTTTTAAAACTCAGTTATGTTTTAATGGGCCCCAATTAACCTTAAGGCATAAGTGGGAAAAAAACAAAAGGAAAAATAGAGAAGAATGGTTAGCAGAAGAAAATAATAGAATGAAAAGAAAAGGTTTAGTAACATCAACTGCTTCTGGCTTTTCTTTTTACCACTCTCCTTAGAGGAGTTAATATGTCTGTGGGCTCAGCAAAAGCAAATATCTCCAGAAGGATACCTATTTCCACTTATCTGCATTCCATCTATCACTTCTTAAGTCTGAAATCGGTAAAAGCATTAATAATCTAAACACCTGTGTATTCAGTCATTCATTAAACATTTGAGTGCCTGTTGTGTCAGACACTATGTTTGATACCCTCAGAGAAAATGAATGTTTTTTCCTCAGCCTTAAAGAGTTCACATTCTAGCTAAATATAAAATACAGCGTTATCATAAAGATACAGGTGCACAGATGAGGGACTGATTATTCTTAAGAGTTTTGAGAGATGCTTTGAAGAGTTAAACTTGAGCTGGTATTAATTGGTAAAAGTGAAATGGATTTATTCTGAAGTCCATTACCTTATTTGTATCAGTTTGACCCTTTTTAAGATTACTTACTTTTAAACATTTCAAATGTATTGAAAGGATATCATTTTAAAAATTGTCAGTACCCAACTTAATGTTATTGTTGAATTAGTACTTAACATCTCAGTTTATGTTTCACCCCAGATGTAGTCTGAGCCATCCGTGGTTTACTTCATTTACTTTAACAGTGATTGATTCCAAGAGTGAGCTGAACTAAAATCAATTTGGGTCAGTAACACACTGAAGATGGATTGGCGTGGGGGTCTCTAGGAAAGATAAGCCAATCTGATGTGAACAAGAAGGCGTTTTGCTTAAGCTGATAGCACAATTGAGGTAATAAAGAGACTAGTGTTAGGATGACCCTAAAGCTGATGCCAGCAGGACAAAGAGATGGAAAAAACCTGGATCCTTGATCACATATGGAGCCACGGAATCTGTCGACCCTGATAAAAGCTGCAAGATTTCTGAACTTCTTGTTTTAAGAAGTCAGCTTATTCTTAAGCCAGTTTGAACAAGTTCCTGTGCATTCCAGCTGAGAAACTGGGAAAGGGGTACTGGCAAGTAAGAGATTCTAAACTATGGATTTAAGTTTGAGAGAGGGCAGTAAGGGTGCCAACTTGAGAAGTTGGTGATATTCCCTTATACTTTGGGGCATAACCATTTGCTTCTTGAGGCTATGGTTTGGGAGGATATTATACAGAAAATTCAGGATATTGAAGTGCCTTGATCATGTCCTGCTTGGACCCAAAAGGCCTTTAAAATTCAGATTTCAGATCTGGTAAGAAAGATTCTTTCTTCTTGTGGTTTCACAGATCAGCTTCCTGAGATTATATTGAGGTAAAGAATTCATCTTTTCTGAAGTTAGTTTGAATTCAGGTTTAGAAAAGAGATTTAACAGGAGGTAAGGTAAGTATGCTACAGAACACACTTGTTGCCTTCAACCTTCCCAGTACCTCCTTTTAAGTATTTTCTTCTGGGTAAATGGAAACTACTCAGGTTTATACAGTAAAGATATGTTTTAAATGCAATTTGGGGGAAGAAATTGATAGTTTCTAATTGGAATGCAGTAGGTAAAGGCCATTTCAAATTCAGAGCCTTGGAGGATGGGAAGTTTTCAGAAGCTTGTTGCCAGGAGACTGAAAGTCCTAACTGCAACCATTGTCTAAACATGATCTTTCTATGGTTACTAGCCTTTGGAATTTTGAGGGTAAAGAACCCTAGCTGCTGCTTTTCAAAAGGATATAGTGTGTGCTAAGGGCCAGTTAACACTGACCATTGCTGTATCATTGTTCACTTTTCTGAATTTAATTGTAGTTATCCTGTTTTTTTCCTTCACCAATGTGTTTTGGGTGTAGATAATAATCTTGTAGCTATATATTACCTTAATGGATGTTAACTATAAGAATCTGTATCCAGACCTGTTGGAAATGAAGGCATGTACTCAAATCGTGCATCTGAAGTTAGATGCAGTAACAGGATGGCATTTTCCATGGCATGTTCCCTTTTTGTGAGGTAGATTGAAAGTGTTTTGTGTGAGCCTACACGTTTTTGAAAGTATATGTGTTAGAAGAAGAGTGTGTGCAAAGGGTAACCAAGTTAGTAGACTATAGTCTTTCTAACAACATTTCACATTATTTTACATAGTATAAACTATTTTTTGTCCTATTCTCCTTTATTGGTTTACTGATGTACAAGCCTGGTCAGTATGGTTCATTAAGATACAGCATGAGACTTGCCTGGAAATCCTGAGATGAAGGCAGTGTCTCTATTAATGACCGCAAACAAGGAAGCCTATAGGTCTAGTTGCTGCTTGGCTGCCTTCCTAAGATTTAGAGGAGCCAGACAAAGATCAAGGTAAAGCTATAGACAGCAGTAAAGAGAGTCAAAGCAAAGATACTTGAATCCTCAATATTTTGGGGGAACTGAATTCAGAATCTGCCTTTAGGAGGCAGCACAATACATCCCCAAAGATCCCCACATCTTGACTCTTAGAATCTGTGAATATGTTACTTTACGTAACACAAAGGACTTTGCAGATCTGATTGAGAACACAGACCTGCAGGTGGATGATTATCTTGGATTACCTGAGTGAGCCCAGTTTCACAATATGAGCTCCTAGAAATGTAAAAGGAAGGCAGAATAGGTCAATAAGGAGACAGAGGAAAAATTTCAGAGGGATTCAGCCTTTTCCTGGCTTTCAAGATAGAGGAAAGGTGTTATGACTCAAGGAATGCTGGTAATTTCTATAACGTGGGAGCAACATTCAGCAAACAGCTAGAAAGGAAATGGGATGTTAGTGTTCCATCTGCAAGTAAGTTTTGCCTGCAGGCGAATAGATCCTCCCCCAGAGCCTGAGAAAGAAATACAGTCCAAATGCCACGTTTATTTTAACCTGATTAGACCTATATCAGACTTAAGTCCTATTTAACTGTAAGATAATAAACTTGATTTGTTTTAATCCACTAAGTCTGTGGTAATTTGTGATAGCAGCAATAGAAACCTAATACACTGCCTTATCATCTCCAGCCTTCTTGTGTGACTTAGAAATTATTTTTTCCAGGGCTCCTGGGTGACTCAGTGGGTTAAGCATCTGACTCTTGATTTCAGCTCAGGTCATGATCTCACAGTTTGTGAGATTGAGCCCCACTTGAGATTCTTTCTCTCCCTCTCTCACTGCCCCTTCCCCATTATACTCTCTCCCAAAATAAATAAATATTAAATTTTTTCCTCTAGCTTTATTGAAATATGATTAACATATAACATTGTGTAAATTTAAGATGTATAAATGTGATGATTTAATACATAGGTTATGAAATGTTTACCACAATAAGATTAGTTAACTCCTCTTTTACCTCACATCATAAACCGTTTTGTTTTATTTTTATTGTGAGAACCCTAAAGCTCTATTCTCATAGCAACTTTCAAGTATACAGTACTACTTGTTAACAGTATGTTAACAGTAGTCACCAAGCTGTCCCATAGATCCTCCAAATTTATTAATCTTTTAACTCAAAGTTTGCACCCTTGTCCAGCTCTCCCCAATTCCCCCACACCCTAGGCCTGGCAACTCCCATTCTGCTCTCTGTTTCTTTGAATTTGATGTTTTTAGATTCCACATGTAAGTCAGATCATATGGTATTTGTCTTTCTCTGACTTATATCACTTAACATTCTCAAGGTCCATTCATGTCACAAACTAAAAGATTTCCTTTGTTTTTATTGATGAATAATATTCTATGGTGTTTGTGTGCATGTACGCCACTTTTATCAATTCATGTGTTGATGGATTCATAGGTTGTTTCCATGTCTCGGCTATTGTTGAGTAATGCTGCAATGAACATGGTAGGTACATGTAAGGTCTCCTTAAGATAGCAAGTTCATCTCCTTCAGATACACACCCAGAAGTGGGATTGCTTGATCATATAGTAGTTCTATTTTTAATGTTTTGCAGAATCTCCATACTGTTTTCCATAGTGGCTGCACCAATTTATATTCCCATTAACATTGCACCAGGGTTCCATTTTCTCCACATCCTCACCAGCACTCTTTATCTTTTCTTTTTGAGAATAGCCACTCTTAACAGATATGAGACAATATCTCATTGTGGTTTTGATATGCATTTTCCTGATGGTTAGTGATGTTGAGCATCTTTTCATGTACTTGGCCATTTGTACATTTTCTTTAGGAAAATGTCCATTAAAGTTCTGTGCCCATTTTTTAATCTGATTGTCTTTCTGCTTTTGAGTTGTATGTATCATGTATTTTGGATATTAACCCCTTATTAGATACATGGTTTGTAAATATTTTTCCTATTCCATAGGTTGTCTTTTCCTTTTGTTGATTCTTTTTGCTGTGCAGAGCATTTTAGTTTGATATAGCCCCACCTTTTTATTTTGCTTTTGTTGCCTTTGCTTTTGGAGTCAGATCCAAAAAATCATGGCCAAAACCGATGTGTAGGAGCTTACTGCCTATGTTTTCTTCTAGGAGATTTATGGTTTCAGGTCTTACATTCAGATCTTTTACCCATTTTGAGTTAATTTTTATGAATGGTGTAAGACAGTAATCTATTTTCACTCTTTTGCATATGGCTGTCCAGTTTTCCCAACACCATTTATTGAAGAGACTGTCCTTTTCCAACTGTATATTCTTGACTTTTGTGTCATAAATTAATTGACCATATGCCTGGGTTTATTTCTGGGTTTTATTCTGTTCCATTGATTTATATGTCTGTTTTTATGCTAATGCCATGCTGTGTTGATTACTATAGCTTTATATTATCATTGAAGTCAGGGAGTATTGTGCTTCCAGCTTTGTTCTTCTCTCTCAAGACTGCTTTGACTATTAGGGGTCTTTGTGGTTCCATATAAATTTCAGAATTATTTGTTCTATTTCTATGAAAAATACCATAGGAATTTTGGTCAAGATTA